TCCATGAACCATCCATCAGCAGACCCAACTTCAGAAATGCTGGGGTCGTGCAGTCTGCATTTCCGGAGCTCTGTCTGGTAGCCACTGCCCACTGTATCCATTATATATGTAGGCGCACTCACTCTAAGCAATGCCCAGAATTATCCATGTCCATTTGCACTCGGCACAGGAGAAAATAACACTCTCCAGGGTCCTTGGCAAAGGTACCCAGCCCAGAACCGCGAAGAATTGAAATCCAAACCCAGGGCTGAGGGCCCATCTGGTAGTTTCACTGCTGGACGCTGTGACCAAGTGACTAGCTAAGAGCTGACACTAGGCAGCTGGCTGTTCTTGGTTTCAGCTTCTCCACTTTAACTTCCCTGGGGCGAGGGAGTTGAAGGCACGTTCTCAGAGAAGAAACAACTAGAACTAACATTGCCCTGTACTGTTGAGGACGAAAAAGACTTACTAAAAGGAATTAACTTGGCCGTGGCATGGCTCACGCCTGTAAATCCTAACACTCCCTGGGAGGCCCCGAGGGGAGAGGAGCAATCGAGGTCAATGGTTCGAGACCCAGCCTGAGCAAGAGGGAGAGACCCCATCTCTACTAGAAATAGAAAGAAATTAATGCCAGCTAAAATAATATAGAAAAACTACCTGGGCATGGTGGCGCATGCTGTGTCCAGCTAACTCGGGAGGCCTGAGGCAAGGAGATCGCTGAGGCCCAGGAGTTTGAGGTTGCTGTGAGCTAGGCTGTACGCCCACGCACTCCACTCAGCCTGGACAACAAAGCGAGACCTTCTTAAACAAAACAAAACAAAAAAAACTCTTGTGTTTGAATGCAGGCTTCACCAGTGAACTGCGGTGCGACCCCGGCCCATTTCCCCTCCGGGAGTATGAGCAGGTACCAGAATAAGCCACGAGCTAACGGCGACGGCGGCGTGCCATTGTGGGGCTCGTAGTGCGGCCCTGCGTCCTGCGGCGACGCGGCGGTGCATTGTGGCTGAGCGCGGTGCGTCTCGGCGACGGGCGGCATTGTGGCCGTACGCGGCCCTCGCGTCCTGCCGCGGACCGGCGGGCGGTGCATTGTGGGGCTCGTAGTGCGGCCCTGCGTCCTGCGGCGACGGCGGCGGTGCATTGTGGGGCTCGTAGCGCGGCCGGCGTCCTGCGGCGACGGCGGCGGTGCATTGTGGGGCTCGTAGTGCGGCCCGGCGGGGCGGTGGGCGCGGCAGTCGGGCCAGTCGGCGCGGCAGTCGAGCAGTCGCGGCGGGGCATTCTCGGCGGCCCGCACCTGCGCCCGGCCTGCCCGATGGCGCCGCGGCCGCTGGGCCCCTGGGCGCTGGCGCTGGGCGGCGCGGCGGCCGTGCTGGGCTCGGTGCTCTTCGTCCTCTGGAAGACCTACCGCGGCCGGCGGCCGGGAGCGGCGCCGGGACCCGGGCGAGGCCTGGCGCGGCGCGGGGCCCGCCCGGCTCCCCGAGTGCACGAGTGGGCGTGAGTGTGCGCCGGCCGGCGCGGGCCGGCCGCCGGGTGCCCGCCTGGGCGCGGGTGTGGCCGCGCCAGACGCCGGTCGGGGCTTGGCCGCGCGAGCGGGCGGGCGCGGACCGGGAACGGCGCGGCGGGCGGGCGTCGTGCGTGGCCCGCCACCGCGGCCCCGGGCCTCGGCAGCGGCGCCGCAGCTGCACAATCGGCCAACTAATATATATAGAAAAAATTAGCCAGGCATGGTGGCGCATGCCTGTAGTCCCAGCTACTCGGGAGGCTGAGGCAGGAGGATCGCTTTAGCCCAGGAGTTTGAGGTTCCTGTGAGCTAGGCTGACGCCAGCACTCATTCTAGCCTGGGCAACAAAGTGACACTCTGTCTCAAAAAAAAAAGAGTAAAATTTAGTACCCAGGGTCTTGAGATCTATCTAGCTATGGTGGCTTGAAATGTAAAACTCACCAGCCATTTTCCCAAAGATGTTTTGAGGTCAAAGAGGCTGACATCAAGCAGGAAAACGCAAAGACATAGAAGGTAGACCTGGAAGCCTGGTGCCATTTGCATCCCTGGATACAGCTGTTTCTAAGGTCCAGGGTTTATTTTTGTTTACTCCTTCTGTAATTAACTTCCTCTCTCCTTGTCTTCCCCTCTTCCACTATTCCTTCCTTTTCTCCCTCTCTAATTCCTTCTGTCCTTCTCTCATTCTAACTTGGGTTTCTGTCTCTCGCAACCAAACAAGGGACTTCAACATGGTCTTCATGGACTTCAACACAACAACCTTATTTATTTATTATTTTTTATTTTTTTGAGTCATAGTCTCACTGTGCTGGCCGGGCTAGAGTGCCATGGCGTCAGCCTAGCTTACAGCAACCTCAAACTCCTGGGGCCAAGTGATCCTTCTGCCTCAGTCTCTCGAGTAGCAAGGACTACAGGCATGCGCCACCATGCCCGGCTAATTTTTTCTATATATTTTTACTTGGCCAATTAATTTCTTTCTATTTATAGTAGACACAGGGTCTCGCTGTTGCTCAGGTTGGTCTCAAACTCCTGAGCTCAAAGGAGGATCCACCCGCCTCGGCCTCCCAGAGTGCTAGGATTACAGGCGTGAGCCACCATCCTCGGCATTTATTTATTTATTATTTATTTAGAGAAGGTCTTAGTCTATCTTCCAGGCGAGAGTGCAGTGGCGCCATTGCTCACTATAACCTCAAACTCCTGGGCCCAAGCAACCTCCTGCCTCACCCTTCTGGGCAGCTGGTACTACAGGCACACACTACTACACTGGCTAATTTTTCTTTTTTTGAGACAGAGTCTCGCTTTGTTGCCCAGGCTAGAGTGAGTGCCGTGGCGTCAGCCTAGCTCACAGCAACCTCAATCTCCTGGCACATAGATAACAATGCAGCTGGGAGAAGCAGAGGGGAGGTTGGAAGAGGCAGAGGAGGCGAAGGGTTACCGTCACCGCCTGAGCAGGGCAGGTGGGGGCACCCAGCATTCGGTAGATGACGCTAGAATAGGACCTAAACGTTTTTCAGGACCCAACAAAAAACTTTCTTGAACGTGCTAAAAATAGAAGACTCTTGGCTCAAAAGTTTTAAAAAAAAAACCTGCAGGATCAAAGATTAATGTTTCGACTTACAATGACTGGTACAGACATATTACACTCAATTCTTTATTCTTATGAAATTTAATTGTTTTAAAAATTGGCCTTACACTTTGAAGAACTGCTTGGCGGGGGAGTTAGAATTTTTTCGGCTTTCAGATGAATTCCGCCTCGGGCGGTCAGTGCTGCACGCCTAGGCAATCCTAGGGAGGCCGTTGTGGGAAGGAATGGCCGTGAGGCCCAGAGTTCGAGAGACCGGAGCCTGAGCAACGAGCGAGTTCCCATCCTATATAAAAATAGAAAAATATAAGGCTGGGCATCGGGTTCGCCGAAGAGAGGCTGAGGCAGAGATTGGCTTGAGC